GTTACACTGTGGAGTTTTGTCATGAGGGCTTTTGGACGTTTGAGCGGATGAGCGGAGCACTGTGTTGTTGTAAAGAGCAGATGTTTTGAGGTCACTGCTTCTCGATCTGCCTCCCTGCAAGTGTTGACACTTGTGGGTTGGAGTCATACTTAATGAGGGAATCATGATGTGTGGGTTGTGGCCCATAGGAAACACAGAATGAGCGCCATGGTCGTTCATTTCCTCAAGCACTGATGATTAGCTATAACAGCACCCTGCAGCTCCAGTTCAGGTCTTGAAAAGTCTTGAAAAGCTTTGAATTCAGTTTCCTCAGAAAAATGTTCTAAATTTAATTTACAAAAGTCTAAAATGTTGTTATAACTTGTGGCTGTTGGGAGACAGTTGGAAGATCATCAACTCATAATGGCCAAATTTCAATTTTAGATTTAAACTTAGACTAAAACTTAAATTAACTAATTATTTTCCTTTTGAATTGGTTATTCCATCAATCAATTTTCTACCGCTTATCCGCTGAGTGGTTGTGTCGTTTGTAGTTGTTTTTGGTCTCTTTATGGTCATTTTACATTTCTTTGTGGTTGTTTTTCATAATTTGTAGGTCTTTTGCATCTCTTTGTTGTTTAGAGTCTCTTTGTAGTTGTTTTGCGTCCCTTTGGGATAGCTCTATTTCTTTTGGACAAGAGGCTCTAGCCCAGAGGCCCCCTGCCCCTTCAGGCCCCTGGGCCTGTTCAGTGATCCATACATGGGTCCAGATCACATTAACTGACTGATTATATTAGTAGGAACTATTGTTATTTACAGTTAACAAGTGCTGACATAAATATCAATGAATTCATGTTCTAAATAAATAATTGCAGGCAGTTTGTTTTCTATTATTTTCGACTGGTATGACAATGAAGAGTTATTAAAATTCATTCTGTTTAGCAGTAAAAAGGTCTGAATAAAATCACAAATTGAATTTGGCGAACTCTGCAGAGCCCAGTGTCAGATCAGTCCAACTTCCTGACATTTCCACTTCCATGAGATATTTTAAGACACTCAGGAGGAGCAGTCCTGTTTCAGGTTATGGTGTATTCAGTGCGTCCATGTTGCTCATTCCTGGTCAGAGCCCATTGCCTCCACCTGTCCGGCTCCCACAGGCTCTAATGATTTCTTCTGATTAAAGTTCAAATATTCCCATGTGTGGCCACTACCAGTCTGTGGCGTCTGGTCACCACTCTCACCCAGCAGGCTACTTTCAACATTCCTCAGCTGCCCAGCCAATGAACACACGACAATGATGTCATTTCCTGTTCAGGGGGCTCCTGATATTTCCATTATGGCTAACAGGAAGGTTTTCAGCGCAGAAGACGGTATCACAAACATGACTCAGGTTAGTCTTGATCTGATACCTCTGAGTGTTACCTCCTGCAGTGATAGCAAAACAGGCAGGACAGACAGAAAAACTCTGCAATTGACTTTTCAGTGTTTCCCAGAGCCTGAAATTACACACTGATAAATTATAGTTGATGCACGCAATGCTCCGACAGCTGCAAGCCGGCCACCACTTCAGTCTTGTTTCTTACGCTTCATCAGCTTTAACTAAACGCTCCCAGAGGAGCATCAAGAGAAGACGAGGTCGTCATTTGTCAGTTGTAACTTAGTCTTATCACGACCTGGCAGGACTGACACATGGAAAACCCAATGACTTAATGCATCACAGACGCTTTAAGTACCCTGGTTTCTGCGGACATGATTGGTGGATGCTGAGACAGGAGTAAACATGAAGCACCATCTGTAGCTCTTCTGAGGCAACATCCACTGATGAAATCTCCGAGTGCAATGAGCCACAGCAGGAGCTCAGACAGTGAATACAGTCTAGATGTTGTTCACTGTGCTTCTGCTGCCATCTGCTGGTCAACAGGAGAAAGGGAAGCCTGGTAATAACTCATTTGGTTAACACTTTACTACTTAGCATTTATAAGCAGCATTTATAACAACTGTAACTCCTCCTGTTGACTGCTGTAGTTCATCAATGACATTATAGTAAAACACAACATTATAACAATATAAAATTTGTCCTCATAGGAGAAGACATTGTTAACAAATACTGTACATTCATAGACAATTAAAAATGTCGTTATAGATTCTTACAACTACATTATAATGTGTGATAATAATATATTTATTAAATGTGTATATGCTGTTAATAAATGCTATATAGGGGGACTTAAAGTAAAGTGTTACCTCTGTTTCAAATATTTAGAAACAGATAATAAACTCATGTTGTGACCTTATCAGATTGTCTGAGGTTACCTTATAAACAGTCTGTCAATCAGTTGTGTAACTTATAGATCATATAGATCATATACAAAACAACATCATCTTTTCAAAATTGCTTTTACAAAGTAAGATATTTTCCCTCAGTGGAAAAAGAAAGTCGCAAGAGAAATATCAATGACCATGAATACAAAACTAAACTAAGAAGAATTTAATTTTAACCTTCACTAGATAAAAAAAGTGAACTGATGAAATGGGTATTGTCTTCACACAGAGACAAAAACACATTTATTTCAGTTGAAAGTGTGTAACAATATTTACTGAGGTTAGCAACAGAGAGAGACTTAGATGTAGTGACGTCAGGATTGTGAATGACAGGAATTTTCACAGCGTGGGAAAAGTGGAAATAACAGAGGCAATTAGAGCAGGAGGAAACAACAGACGTTCATCAGCAGGAGAATAAAGGGAAAACGTGAGGGAAAAGCTTACTGAACATTTTCCAGAGCTTCATTTAAATGGACAACATTTAATTCCTGGTGAGATCTTGAAGTAAATATCCATAAAAATGATAATATACATAAGATGACAGGCTGTATGATTACAGGTGAGGTTAACCATCCAACCCACCTAGGGTGATATATACATTGGTCCAAAGGGTAGGAGTACAAGGACGTTACCTTATGTATCATAAATACTGTATCCTCCGAAGCTGCTGCAAGTTGTATGAAAGAAAACATTGAATTATTGTACACGATACAAAATAGATCAATAGTAAAATGATCACAGCATCACATTAAACAAAAATTTTCCATTAATCTTGGGAATGACCGTCAGCAGGATAGACTTTGAGTTTACCGACACGTATGATAAATGATATGATCATGTGCACTCTTTGATTGTTGCTGAACTTCCTCAGACTTCCAGGATGTTTGATCATGGAGTAATTCAGTCTCTCAGAGGAGGAAGTGAACGCACCGAGGCAGCCGCTTCCTCCTGGAGACTCCTGGATAAAAAAAGCAGCCTGTTAAATTTAGTCAAGTCAGGGTGTTTGCATTAGTACAGCTGTTAGAGGAGATTAATGTGTCCCTGTCTGTAGTCATGTGTGTGTTTGCTGGTCTGTGAGTGTATGCATAGTGTTGGGAAAATCTGAGTCAGAAAATGAGGATGAGTGGAGTCAGATAGTGGACAGGCCAAACAGGACATAGGAGGTTGGGGGGGGGGGGGGATCTTTAGAACTCAGACAGTGACAGAGGGGAAATACTGCAGGGATGTTGCTCCAAATTATATGAACAACTGTTGAAGGATTTGTCATGAGATCTGGATCAGACGTTCATGTCTCACTCAGAATGACTTATAATCACTCTGGTGAAGATCTGACTTTCATGCAGCGCCACCATCAGGTCAAAATGTCAACTTGTCCAATAATTTGGTTAATGATCATGTAAAATCAGATTTATTTTGTAGCTTATCTTGCTTTCCTGTGTTTATCTCACTCAGCACTTTATTAGGAACACCATACTAACGCTGGATAGTTCCTCCCTTTGCTCTCAGAACAGCCTCAGTTCTTTGTGACATTCATTCCACAAGATGTTGAAAACATCTTTCACTATTTGCTCATATTTTATAGTCAAAACAACCTGTTAATCAAGAAAATAATTAACAGATTCATCAATAGTGAAAATAATTGTTAGTTACAATTCACAATATTGGGAATAAAGTAGATTAAAGCTCCACACACAACTGTTGTTTTGCGACCACAGTTTGTGTTAGAAAGAAACTGACAAAATAGACAAAGAAAAACAAATTTAATACAAATAGACTGTGCACGTAAATGTAGCCATACTGCAATAAAAAGTTAAGTCCTGCATTAAATAGATATCTGACTCCTGTTGATACTCATGTACTTCAGCAGTCAAGATACTCAGTGTGAGTGATGACGGGTCAGGATTTATGAGAATATCTTGGCTTCGTCTGGACTCATACAGCGTGTATTTTCTCTGCTGCAGTACTTCAGTCTGATCACGGGAGGGCGGGCTGGCGTCATCCTCACCAGACTGAAGTAACACAAAGAGTCAACAGGTGAAAATAACCAGGTGGAGCGTTTGGATATTTCTCCCACATGGTTACTGCTGCAGCAATCCGAAAAACAAAAAACAAAAATAGATACTATTCTAACACATCAGCTATAATGTGCTCCTGCTACTCACTGAGTTTTACTGCAGTTTATACGTCACCAAAACAAAGTGTTGTTCATTGTACTTTAATGTTAGTCTGGATAAATACATGTAATTCTTTCTAATGGTTTTCTTATCACTGTTGCCACATTTTTATTTTCAAACTGCCCAATATGCCTGAATAGCTTCCTTCTTCTTCTCCAATTGTGTTATTATTTTATTATAATACTTCTTATTATTGATTAATTGTTTTTTATCATATTAAAAGCGTCAAAATTAAGATGACGCTTCAGTATTTAAGCCATTTCTCATATATTGAAGACAAATGTTTTCATTTGAAGTTCGTTTAAAAATTGTCAGGGTTTTTTGAGACGATGCCAACCAGTCCGTTTCAAAGCTTGACAGCAGTATCGGCCTGTAACACCGTTACATTACATGAGTTTTCCTGTTGCTGAGTCTGGCTGTGGATGTGTTGCGCGCAAACGAGGCGCGCGCGTCTCCACGAGCCGTGCGTTAATGTAGTCTGACAGAAACCGGAGCGCGTGAATCATGAGTGGATTTAACATAAAGATGGATCTCTCCTCGGTGAACTCCTCCTCGTGGAGAGCGGAGTCGGTGGTCGTCTCTTTGGGTTTTTCAGTCATCTTCCTGGTCGGCACCGTGGGAAACTCTCTGGTCCTCGCGGTTCTATTTCGCAACGGACAGATGAACACCAAGACCACCAACCTGTTCATCCTCAACCTCGGGGTAGCAGATCTGTGCTTCATTGTCTTCTGTGTCCCCTTCCAAGCCACTATCTACACGCTGGATGAGTGGGTGTTCGGACCCGTGGTGTGTAAGGTCGTGCACTTCATCATTTTTCTCACCATGTACGCCAGCATCTTCACCCTGACGGCCGTCTCCCTGGACAGGTGCGTCCACTGACTTTGATACTGTACATACAGAGGCTAGATACAGAACATTATAATTCACCAGCAGGCTGCACAACCAAGAGGAAAATACATATGAAGTTAATGTTACTGTCAGTATTTTTATTAAAATGATGATGATAGATAGATAGATAGATAGATAGATAGATAGATAGATAGATAGATAGATAGATAGAGAACTTCAACAAAAGGAGCTAGTTGAGCAAACCTACAATTTAAAAACCTAATTATGCACAGTACTTTAAAACTATAAAATGAAAAGAATAAATAAAATTAATTAATTCCTAAATCCAGAACATTAAAGCCATTACCTCTGTTCTTCTCAACTCATCAAATAATGACAAATAATATCACCATCATCGGCAGGTCAGCTCAGTTTTGCCTCCTGGTATGCACATCAACACAACCAAGGCCAGATTTCATGGACAGATCAGTTTGATCTGAGTTGAGCATTTACTGCATCTTGTTTTACATGATTGTTTTCCTCTCATAACATCGCTCCCAGCAAATAAGACTGTGTTAATTTGAAGTGACAAATTTCCAGTTTCCATTTAATTTTACAGGTTATAGTTAGCAGAAAAGTCTAGTTTCACAAGGATGTGAAAAACAGAGAGACGATGCCATCAGAGGAGCAGTCAGAGAACCAAACAGACGTGATTTCTTAGAGAGATCTGAAGTATTTTCTGAGCCATCCACACCACAAGAGGATTGATCATTATTTGTGTTTTCCTGCATGAATGTCAGACAAATTTCATTAGTGCATGGACATAAATTTGTGTGTAAGCATCAGAGGAAAACCTCAAACAATACCACAAACAACAGCAGCTTGGAAGCAACATAACCAACACCTTGAATGATTCATACCTGTCAGTAATGAACACCTGGATCACATGTCTTCCCTCTGCTCTTTCAGGTATTTAGCAATTTGCTACCCACTCCGCTCCAGGGAGATGAGAACACCAAAAAACGCCCTCAGCTCCATCTGCCTGGTTTGGGCCTTGTCCTTGGTTTTCTCTGGACCGTATCTCAGCTACTACTCACAGATGGACCTAGTTGGCACTGTGGTGTGTATTCCTGCCTGGGAGTCCAAACCACGCTTCATAATGGACGTTTGCACCTTCATCTTTGGCTACCTCATTCCCGTCCTGGTGCTCAGCCTCACCTACGCGCGCACCATCCGATACCTGTGGACCAGCGTGGATCCCGTAAAGGACATGTCAGAGTCTCGGAGGGCCAGACATAAAGTCACCAAGATGATCATCATCGTCGCTGCTCTCTTCTGCCTTTGCTGGCTTCCCCATCACCTGGTCATACTCTGCATGTGGTTCGGACGTTTCCCCCTCAATCACACTACCTACATCCTCCGCATCCTCTCCCACCTGGTGGCTTACACCAACTCCTGCCTCAACCCCATCGTGTATGCCCTTGTGTCAAAGCACTTCCGAAAAGGTTTCAGGAAGGTTTTCAGCTGCGCGCTGAGGAGGAGAGAGGTCAACAAGGTGCACATCATCCAGGCGGTGAACACGGTCAGCAGTGTGGAGACGTCCAACTAGAAATGGCTTTGAATGAAGAGGAAGAGCCAACTGAACATTATGAACTACAACCAGAGATTGTCTTTGAGTGAACTTCGAGTGTACCTGTCTTTAAGAAAGACCATGTTGAGACAACAGTGGTGAATGAGGAATTCGGGATAGTAAAGGTTGAGTTATTGACCACCTCCAGCAGTTCTATGAATGGAGGGAAGCCTTCAACACAGTGAAGGCCGTGGGATTCTACTGTTTACACCACATTCTGGTAATCAAATTGATCACAAAAGATGTGATGCAGTCATGGTTTGTCCCAATCTACAATGGAGATACGAAGACTCAATCGATCAAGGAAACCCTTCACATTTTCCACCTGACCCCATGACAGTTTAAGCTACTCTTGCAGCATGGCTCTAGGGATGTCCGTTGAACAAAACTTACAACAGATATCCCCACAGGATACATCCTGTGGGGATATCTGTTGTAAGTGGAACACCACCATGAGGTTCACAGTCATGGTTTTGAGTGAAATGCTTCAGAAGTATCAGATGGATTGCCATTAAAATTTGATAAACACATTCATGTTCCCCCCAGGATGAATTGTGATAACTTTAATAATCCATTAACTTTTCATCTAGCATCAACATCAGGCCAAAATTGGTTTAATTTGTCCAATAATATGGTTTATGACCAAATACCTGCAAAATAATTTGTGATTGTTCATGCATTAGCCCTAGTGCTAACCTTGTAGTCACACCAAATATATGCCTAAATTAACTTCTTTGGTTGTGCTGTGTTTTGTAGCAGTTTGTTACCAAATGAAGCCAGATACAAGCAGTGTATAGCTGCTATAAAATGAGCTGAATGCATTGTATTAGTGTTAATATTGGATTATTGTTACATTATTGTCATGTAACTGACAGTAGTGTTGCATTTGCAGCCATTCTGTCAACAGTCTGTTGACACATCTGTATTTCTTTTCCATAAGTGGGAGATATTGATAGAAATTCCTGATATCTCCAACTCTGAATAACGAGTTGCAGGAACGTTTTTTCCCATTCAGCTGCTTGTAGTTACAGTTTAAACTATATGACATGAATGTGGCAAAAGCACTGCTGTGCCTATGTACAGCCTCACAGAACAGCAGGCATAGTTGTAGACTGTTAGTCTTGTTCATCAAGATCAAGAATAAGTGTTAACAAAAGGAAACAGCCACAGTTTATGCTTTAATGGGACAATAAGGAAGTCAGATACCTTGATTTGTGTCTAATCTAGGTTTTTTGTGCCAAAAGATAATAAGCACATGTGGTCAGCATGTGTCACTTATGGTTGACCAGATTTTGAAGTATTTTTCCGAGAAATCACACAAGCGCTGTTTTAAAAGGGCAAGACCCAGGCAGAGAGAGCCCTTCTAATAGAACGTGTCATATAATGAAAATCATTTTAGAGAATTTGATGAAAAGTGGTAATTTACTTTGGGTAAAATAAGCTTTGCCTTTATCCTGTTTAGACACTGAATGAAGGGATAATATCATTTCTGTATCCAGTTTAATCTTTGTAATAACTTTATTTCCATAATACTTTTAGAAAAACAAGTTGCAAAGTGCAACTTATGTTCAAAGTATGTACAGATCAGAGGGAAGTGAAATATAAATTAAATAAAACATTGCAACAAAATCACAGAGCTACAAAGTCTGATGTAGGTACATCGGTGTCAGCCAAAAGGTTTAACAGAATAAGAGTTTGTAGACAAAATGACTCACTACAGTTTTGGTTTCAAAAGCTCAGGCAAGTTTCACAACAACAGGGTCAGTGGTTCAGAATTTGGCTGGAAACAGCCTGAGGAGTCTGAGTAACTGTGGGTGGTGTTGGACTGAAAAGAAAATTGTCAGAACGTTATGCAACCAGCATTTACCAGACAGATTTTCAATCATTTCTGCATAATTCAGCCTCTTGTGCAGAGTCCTCGACAAGCCTCAGTGTTATCTCTAGTGATTTAGACGTTTGGAAATATGCTGCATGATAATTTGTTGTCACTGGAAACCTCAGTGTTATATGTTGATTTATACGACTGGCTTTGCAGTGCAAGTCCTGTCACAGTGTCATGGACCATACAACTTGATTTGGTGTTGTTGTTGTTAATGTGAGATATACAAGATAACTTTTTCTTTGTGGTACATTTATGCAAACAGTATTAATGTGGTGTACAGAACATTATAAAAGTTGAACTAATAAATCCATCAAGTTGTTACCTTCTGTCTGCTTGGCAACACAATGTCTTTCACTTGAAACATGACACGTCCTTTCAAGATGATGTGTTATGCGAGACCCTTCATAGATATTACACCTGTCAAGTGGTTACCTACTACATAAACCCCTTTATAAACCCATTATCCTAGAATCTAGGAGTTTTCCATCTAGGACCTAGGTCCTAGATGGTCCCATAGAAAAACTTGATGAATACACTCTAACGGAGGTGAGCTGGTTACCCATCTTTAAGTCTTTTTATCTTGTAAAACTGAAAAACACCATTTGAAAACACTTCTGATAAATCTTAAATCTCATCTTTGTGTCCTTGTGCAGCATCTTCTTCATCTCATGATGGTGGGCCAAGCAGCAATGGGCTCATTACTGCCCCCATGGCCAGAGGGCGGAAGACACCCATTGGAAAATGACGATTCGTGAGAACCACAGTTGTCATTGCTGTGTTTTACCTCAAGGGGCAACAATGAGCCCATTCAACATTCAAAGACAAACTTTAACAATGTTTAAACTATATGTTTTGGTTTTACAACAGAAACAATTTGAAGGATGAAAACTATCTGGTTGGTTAACCACAGCACCTCCATTAAAGAGCAGCACACAGCTATTTCTGGTTTTTCTATGTTTGTAGCTCTGTTGTAGCTCAAGTCGGTCCTCAGCGTCGTACAGAAACTGTAAGACACATTACTGTCTTTACACTAATCAGTAGTTTTATGTTAACAATGGATCAAATGTGTATTTGTAATGTCAAAGGTCTTTTGTAATGACAAACCCACAGCGAATTATCACCCAGCTGCCAATCCCCTCACCTCTACAGGGTATTTTAGCGTCTTTCAGCTCTTTGTTTTGGTTTTACGACCTACGACTTTACTGTTTTGGTTCACTGTCACTGATCATATCAATCTTGTTTCCAGCAGAAAGCAGCTCTAAAAAGCCACTGTCCTCTACCTGCTCAGCACAAAACAGCAGACAAACACAGTCAGAGAGCAGCTGGTCAACATAGTGGAGCATTTAGCAGCTAAAGAGCCAGAGGGAAATCCTCAGGAGCTGATAGAGCCCAAGAACAGCTAAAAGAGAGGGAACTCTTAGATTAGATTCATCAGGTGGACACAAAAACCACAAAAATGAAGATGTGGATATGACTGTTTGCTAATATGTTTTGCATATTAACTTTATGCAGTGATGACACATGTATATGTGTTGTATTTACAGCTTCTTTCTCTGCCCTCCAGGGGCCAAACAAATTTCAAATAATGGAGCTTTAAATGAAGATCAGTCTAACCTTAATGCGTAGTTCAAGAGTGAAGGACACATTATCAATCACATTTATAATATTGAGTCATAAAAAATGAACCACAAATGTTTTTAGTTGTGAATGTACCATCAGCCCTTGAAAACATATATGTTTAGTCAGTTGTATAGTAAGACATACAGCAAATGTCATAAAAATGTCAAGTATAGTATCGCTAAAAAATGTCTTATAGTATATAGTAATAGTATACTACTATACTATACTATAGATACTATGTATCATAGAGTTATAGACACATAGACATGGCCTCCCCCCAACCCCACCACCACAGTGGGATTTGTTCTGTTGCTCCAGGTACTGACGACATGAGGATACGAACCAACCGCTCCTCGACTGGAGGTGATGATTGTTTTATTTTCATGGGCTGTGTCTGCAGTCATTACCTTACCTCAGAAAAGAAATGTCAAAACAAGGTTCAAACTGTCATCACATCCAAGAAACAATCACATCCAAGCGAAACATACAGAACACAGAGGAGAGGATGTAGGCCTCCAATAAGTGCTATTTAAAACAACTTTGTAACATAGAACAGGAGAGTAGATCAGCCGTGGTCAAGTGTCAGTGATCAATACTTTTTATCACCATGGAAACCAGACCTCAAGCTGCTGAGGTGGTCTCGAAGCCTTGATGATAAAAGTGTCATCTTCACTTCTCTGCTGTCATCCCTAAGATTTCTTTTCAGAACCTCAGGGTTTTTTTTTGTTTATCCAAAAATGAGACAAATCATTTTTCTAATTTTTGTGTCTTCTTCTATAACTGCTCCTGGCTTGATTACAATTTTTAAAAGCAATGACTGACCGATCATTGATTTTCAAAAAGTGATACCTCACTGAATATCAATAGGGCTTTAAACAGCCTGTTTCATGTATGTTTTCCTTACTGTGAGTTATATTTCTATTACACAAAATCTTGTAAACCCCCACCCCTTGACCTTGCTCTTATTGTTGTAAATGATTGTTTGGTTCGGAGAAGACAAACAACAGGCACAGATAACCACGCTGCTGAGGGTTAGTGGTGTAATTCATCCCCCGTGTCCTGTAATTATGTTAATTCTAATTAACATTTTACTAACAAATTATTTGAAATTGAACATAACCACATCATTTGTGATGCTTTTAACATATAGGAAATCACACGACTCGGTTTTATTGAAGAAAGTATTCATATGTAAATGTACGTGATGCTGCAATTATCACGCGCTATTAGAATACAAGTTGAGATACTTCACACTCAAATTCTCCTTCATTCCTGAGTTATTGCACAGTCCAAAGACACCTGTGTATGTCAATTATATCAACATTAAACCACCATTAATTTCTCTAGGGGGCAGCAGAAACAAGCTGAAATACTCACATATTATGGCATGTTATTCATTACCTTTAAGTTGATAGTGAATGTGTATGTGAATGCAAGCGAACAGTTGCTTATAGCAGACATGGAGCAAGGATTCACCTCCACATATATAATCTGACATGCCTCAAACTGATATCGCACAGTCTGACACAGATTGTAGGATTTTATTAGACATCTCTACATCCAAATAACTCACACAATCTTTGCTGCACAGTGCGGCTGTAAGCTGCTAAATGTTCTGTTCGGTTCAGCAGGTAGTTGTTGGCGGTGTCTGTCCGCTGCCTGGTGCTGGGCAGATCGTGTACACAGTTTTGTTTTGTTTTTTGCACTCTAAAATGCTCTGTGGAGCTGAGGTTAACTGCAGGGTCGGGTGATAATTATCTGTGGGTGTGAACCTTTCAAATAAATATATGAAGCTACTGGTTAGAGCTTTACCTTTGACCGTACGTGCTCCTTCTGTCATCATGTTACGTAACGCAAACCAAACACAGTCTACACAATTCCTCTGTTCACATGTAATTTAAGCGTTTGAGTGTTTCTCCACAAACACAAAGGTTGCAGCCGCTGAAGACGTCTTCCTGAGGAGCTTTCAAGTGTCTCGCTTCATTGCTCATTAGGATGCACATGCTCTGGTTGCTCCCAGCTCTAACAATGTGTTTCTGCACAGAGGTACAGGGAGGAGCGTTTCAGTTGTTTACTCAAACAACTCAAAGCTCGTGTGTCATAATAGACAATGAACTATGTATCTATATGAAGAGATTCAGAATCGGACAACAGATGATCAAACAGCTCTGCCTCTGTTACTGGTCATGTCAGTAAACCAGACTAATGATCCGCTCTGTGCTCTGCTGTTGTGTAAATGTCATCAACAAAACAAATGACAACTCAAACTGATTCAGCGTTCGCTTTATTCATCTGAAACACTAAACTGCGACGGCTAAATTACATAAATACATCATGTTCATATCTTTGTACAAAACATTCATCAGACACAACGAGGCTGAGGAGACAGTAGTGTGAGGAGGGGAGTGTGTGTGTCTGCTGTTAAAGTGTTGTGTTGTCAGAGCGTGAGGAACATGAGTTGGGGGCGATCGACGTGCAGCTCAGGCGGACGTGTCGAACAGCTTCTCAATCATCTCCTCCACCTCCTCCGGCCGATACTTGTGATACTTCTCTGGGTTCTTGGTGAAGGAGATGTTGGCGCATCTAGAAGAAACAGAAGAGAGAGAGATATGTCAGTGTGGAGCAGAGCACGGATGGCTCTGATTGGCTGGAAGATCGAGAGTTGTTCACTATTGACTGATTGACAGTTAGCACAGGTGTAGTGTCACATCCTGTCATTTAAACACCTTTTGTGTCAAAGCTGTAACACTGCAGCTTAAAAACATTTAAAACAGACAAACATCAAACTGGCTACGAAAATAAAATTTTTTTTGGTGGTTAAAGACTCAAACACTAATGTAGAAGATAACTAACATTTTATTATGTATAGTGTATTATATGGTGAATTTGAAAATGTCCAGGTTAGGCGTTGATCAGTATCTTGCAGTATTCGATGATGATTGTGTTTTTTGTGAATGTACCGAAGCTGATTTACATCCAGATGTAAAAACCTGACACGTGTGAAACCTGCTGGTTCGGTTCCTCTCACCTCTGCAGAAACGCTCTGTAAGCGTCCGACACCACTTTCTTCTGAGCCTGACGGATGAAGTCTCTCTGCTCTTTGTCCGGGATGGCCCAACCCTTCTGGATCTTACACAGCTCCTCCAGGCCGTCATTAAAACCCTGAGAGAGAGAGAGAGAGAGAGAGAGAGAGAGAGAGAGAGAGAGAGGCCGGGTTCATATTCAAACACTGGTTGTTACAGGATCTGGTCTGTGGAGAGAGATTTGAACATGTGGTGCCAAATTCTGATCTCACCTTGAATTTGTCTTTAATCACTTGTCGTTCTTTATCTTTCAGCTGCAGGAAAACAACACTTGCGTTATAACATTCATACAAAAATCAGACTCATTCATGACAAAAGGCAACACACATTTGTTTAAGTTTCAAGAAAATGTCAAAATTCTGAATCTTAATTTCCTTTTTTAATTTTGAACTTATATAATGGTCACAGACATAAACCGTGTGTGATGTCATCAGTCAGGTCAGCTCAACAGTTCAAGCTTTAATGTGTGAATCTACATGAAGTCTGAACTGAACACTGTGTCCCAGTTTCCTCACTGGTGAGTCTGTGTTGTCGACCTCTGGGCCTCTGCTGAACTTCTACAGTATCAGCTTTTCCCTCAGTGCCAGAAATCATACAGGTGTGTTGAAGTTGACACGTCTGTACCAGAGCTGGTGAAGTGTTTGCTGTTCTCCAGGAATGAAAGATAATAAAGTTCTGACCTTGGTGCCAGGTTGGAAGACGGGCATGTTCCTGTCCGTCAGGTGCTCCGTGACTTTCTGCCAGCTGTGACAGAGGGAGACGTGTCAGGTGAAGACACGGATGAGACAGACATAAGGCATGTCTGAGTCCTCTGTAACACGTCTGGGTTTACCTGCGCTGGTACATCTGGATCTGCTGCTCGATCAGCTCTCTGTAGGAGGTCTCCGCTTTCTTCTGGGTCACCGTCACCAGCTGGATCAGCTCAGACCTGGACACAAGTACAGGTAAGACTCAGGAGGTGTTTAAGTGGAAGACATATTTACCGCAACTAATAATCATTCCCATCATCAATTCATCTGCCAGTTCATTCTTTTTAGCTTCATCATTTATTCAACATAACGTCAATAATTGTCACAACTTCAGAGCAAAATGTGATGTCTTCAAATGTCAAAAATATTTAGTTTACACTATTTTATGATAAAGAAAAGTAGGAAATCTCATCTGAAAGGCTGGAATCAGAGAATATTGTTCAATTATTTTGTTTGAAAAATGACTGATATGATCGATTATCAATTATCAAAATACACTGCTCAAAAGAAGTTAAGGGAACACTTAATCATCACAGTATAACACCAAGTCAGTTAAACTTCAGGGATATCAATCTGTCCATTTAGGAAGCACAAGTGAATGTGAATCAGTTTCAGCTGCTTTGGTGCAAATGAAAGTGACAACAGGTGCAATGGAGAGGCCAAAGCAAGAAAACCCCCCAAAAAGGGAATGGTTTTACATGTGGTAGCCACAGACAGTTGCTCTCTCCTGATCCTTCCTGACTGAGTCTTCTCTAGTTTTGTGTTTTGCTAATGTCCGTGTCACTGCTGGTAGCATGAGGCGGTACAACATGACCTCCAGCAGGCGACTGGTGTGCATGTTTCTGACCAAACTGTCAGAAACAGAGTGCATGAGGGTGGCATGAGGGCCCGACATCCTCTAGTGGGACCTGTGCTCACAGTCCAGCACCCTGCAGCTCGACTGGCATTCGTCAGAGAACACCAGAATTGGCAGGTCTGCTTTGGCGCTTCATTCTCTTCACAGATGAGAGCAGGTTCACACTGAGCACATGTGACAGGCGTGAAAGAGTCTGGAAACGCCGTGGTGAACGTTATGTTGCCTGTAACATCATCCAGCATGACCGGTTGGTGGTGGGTCAGTGATGGTCTGGGGAGGCATATCCTTGGAGGGTCTCACAGACCTCCATGTCAGAGCCAGCGTTACCCTGACTGCTGTTAGGTACCGGGAGGAAATCCTCAGAGCGACTGTCAGACCTGACGCTGGGGCAGTGGGCCCTGGGTTCCTCTGGGTGCAGGACAACGCCCGGCCTCATGTGGCCAGAGTGTGTAGGCAGTTCCTGGATGACGAAGGCATTGATGTCATTGACCGGCCCTCACGTTCCCCTGACCTAAATCTAATTGAGCACCTATGGGACATTATGTATCGGTGTATCTGACGCCGCCAAGTACCGCCATACTCTGTCCAGGAGCTCACTGACGCCCTGATCCAGGTCTGGGAGGAAAAAATCAACCAGGACAGGCAGGCGGGGGCCATACACACTACTGGGTCACATTTTGAGTTGCCGTGATGAAATTCACACAAGTTGGATCAACCTGTCATTTCAATTTTTTGCCTTGATTTTTAGTGTGATTGTGAATCCAGTCCTCAGTGACTGGATGATTTTACATCATTTTGTTCTCAACAAATTATACAATGCACATCAGGAAAGATTTTCAACTTGAATAATTCATTCATCAAGATCCGATGTGTGATTTAAGTGTTCCCTTAAGTTTTTTGAGCAGTGTAGTTGCACGTTAATCTTCTGACTAATCAATTAATCAACTAATTGTTTCGGCTCTAAAAAGGACTAAACCGTGGCGTCGAGTGGCGCAGTGGGTTGAGCAGGCGCCCCATGTGTAGAAGCTACAGTCCTCGCTGCAGTCGGCCCCGGTTCAAATCCCACATCGGACGGCCCTCTACTGCAAGTCATTCCCCCTCACTCTGCCTCCCCATTTCCTGTCTCTCTCTTCTGTGCTATCATAAAGGCATTAAAAGCCCAAAAAAAAAAGGACTAAACCAGTGGTTAGGTTGACTCAGTAGTCACTTTATTAGGTACAGCCGTACAATCTAATGAAATCCAGTCCAATGGAGGAAATGTGTAGTTACATGTTTATTACTGAGCTTATAGTTAAAGGTGGTTTCTAATGTTTGTATTTATAAACATGTTTCAATGTAATGAACACCATCAATAATAGACTAGTAAAAGTAGAATTCACAGCAGATCTATTGGACCGGATTACATCAGATTACTCAGCTGTGCCTAATAAAGTGTCATTGAGTGAATCACCTCCACTCACAGCACAGCTCAACAGATTACAGGTCTGTTTATTTTCGTCAGTCACATTATTGTAATAACGAGTTGCCAAGCAACAGTAATGTAACTGTGATAAGAATGAATGAATGACTTGACGCCTGCCGACAGATTTTCATCATTTAGAGAAACAAATGGAAACAACAAAACATCCAAAGATCCGAGAGATGATTTACAAAGTGGTGGTTCTATCTTTTAAATGACACACACACACACACACACACAACACACACACACACACACACAAGATTCAAATTAGTAAGGTTAATATTGTAGGTGTGCATTAATCATTGAGTCTATAAAAAATGTGAAATAATAAAAACTGGTTGTCACAGAGAGCTGTTTCTAATTTTGGTTTCATTGATATCAAACAGACAGAAGCATCAAATCTTTACATCAGAGAAACTGGAGCTAGAGATCCGTTTGTTTTTACTTGACAAACAGCTCAAACTGTTTGCAAAATGGTCTGCAGTTTATTTTCTGTTGGTCATTAATTTACTAAAGGATCTGGAAATGACAGAAAAATTGAAATATTTATAGTTAAAACCTGTAAAAAAAAAAAAAAAAATTATCATCCTGTATCATCGTCATCATCACTACAGATGATTGTAAGACAAATTTCTGTCTCCAGTTTGTGTTTGTTGTGTTTGTAATGGAACCAGTAAATCATCACATCATTAGAGACTCTGCTCATCAGGGCTAGTGTTGAATCTGATGACACTGTGTTCATTCACACAGACAAACAGAGAAAATCCCACTCACTTCTCCAGAGACTTGAGGATGTAGTTGTAGTTGTTGTGCAGGAAAATGGCGCTCAGGGCCGAGTCCTCGTACACTTTGGATTTACTCAGCAGGTTCAACTGCAGGTTTCCTAGAACCTTACCTGAGAGGACACATCATCCATCATGCATCAGTTCAAAACACAAAGCAACATGGACGTTTTATTAAAGAGATGAAAGATGTGGATTTCTTCTGTACTCACAGATATAAGTGCTGAGGAGCCTCTTGTTGAAATCAGAGGTGTAGCTGCTCGCTGATGAAGTCTCTGGAAAGATACAGGAGGTGTGAACACAGTCAGTCCTTAAAATTCACTTAATGAGCCACAATAATGAGTTTGACTACTTCATTTAATCTTTTATTTCCTGTTTAGATTAAGAGTGGGAAGATCTACACCTCCACTAAAACATGCACATCAAAGCTGAGCGTCTCCTCTCCTGTCTTTCTGCATTAATTAGCTGAAATCATCGTTTCAAGAACGATTATGAAAACAACTTCAGAACCAACAACACATTCAGTTCAGAGTGGGACTGGTCAGGGGCCTATACACAGGATCTTTGCTTACCTCGGGGGTCTAAAGGTATATTGTAAGTGTCCCCCAGTACTAAAAGGGCCGAGGCAAGGCAGAAGAGAAGAGAGAGACAGAAAGAGGCACAAGTGCAAAAAAGGTTAGAAAAGATTTGTTAGTGCAGAGTAAAGCAAACAGTCATCAGCCAGAGAGCGAGGGAGTGAGGGGAGGCGGGTAATGAAAAGGAAGGAACAGGGAGCAGGAGGGAGCCACAGACCTCAGGTCCTGATCCACAGCCTCTAATGTGAGGTGACTGGATTATAACAAACCCACTTTATTGTAAACAAATGAATTCATCTTTTCTAAAGGTCGTTCTAAGACTGACTCTGAACTCGTGTCACAGAAGCTCCCTCTGAAAGAAGAGAAAAACAACCTGAGGCAGGAAAGAGGGAAAAGCCGAGGAGGTGAAGAAACAGATACAGAACGAGTGAGGGAGGAATGAGGAATCTGACAGTGGTGATAAGGTCGAGACATGTGAGTGTATGTGTCTAATGGACTGAGTGAGGGTCAGTGTGATCATGTTTTACATCAGTGATCTACTGATGTGGATCTTATCTGGACAGTGGCATGTTTCTTTCTTGTACTTCAGTAGTTTAAAGCCACCATCAGTTATTTTACAGGTGCTTGTGGGAAAGGCAACAAATATAACACTGACATGCTTTACTATCTGTTACCTTATAGAGTTTACACAGAGCAACATTATCATTCATATGGAGTCATTTTTGTGTCACATGATGAATCTAAGTCCAGTCTCTCTTTTAGCTCTGTGTTTGGTCTCCAGCAGCTCCTGAGAGAAATCTCTGACTCTTCAGCTGCTAAATGCTGAATAAATAAAGTATAATTAAAATAGAGTATACTTATAGTATAGTCCCTTTTATACACAAATCATCAGTGTCAGGGGACAGAAAGCAGGTAGATGAATTAACATTAACTCATTCATTTAAATAAAGTCATATTTCATATTGGTTGTGAAATCTTTTGCAGTCTCTTGAATTGTTTTTCCAACCCAGTTTGGACAGAACTCCACCCACTTCCTGGTTGAGGCATTCCTCATAAGGAAGTGGGCGTGGTTTCATCTAAGATGGAATGGAAATACGATGGCCGCTTTGCGGTCAAGTCCATTTCATTTCATGCTTGTTTGGTCTCCATTTTCCTGACAATTAGTATCAAATTACAGACTGTGGTCTCCCTTTACAAATGCCAGCTCCTTTCTAGTAAATTACAGAGCCTGTAAAATAAATCAACATTCCTCTGACTGGCCTTTAAAATGCCTTGTTGCTTTAGATTGTGTAGCATCACTGTCCTGCTGTTTGTCCTAAACTTTGAAGACTGTGTGTAAAACAGGCTTAGAGGTGCAACACTGGTCACTCACTGTGGATTTAAACAACTTCAAATTAACGCTGAAAGTCGACACTTGTGCCAAAAAAATAAAAACATGCCACTGTCTAGATACTGTCTGACAGAACATGAAGTGTAACATGAAGGTTACCAGAGGATCTACAATAAAGTGTGTGTATTGATGTAGCTGAGGTTAGATCACAGACGTCTGACAGGGACCACTGCTGATATGAGCACCACAGGAAACAGCGGTGTACCAGCAGCAGGTCTGTGACTGTACCTTGTGAGGCCAGCATGGCCCCGGCCGTCTCATGGAAGTCCAGCAGCTGCTGCAGGAACAGGATGGCCTGCGAGGAGAGAGGTCAAGGTAAGCATCACCTCAGCTTATTCATTAAACAGCCACGCTCGGATCGCCGCTGTTAGCCGTTCCCACGGAGACCACCTAGATCCCCGGAGACGGACAAACAGCAGAGTCCTCGTGGACAGGTGTTTGAAGAGCAGACAGAGCAAATAAATCCAGTTACACAACAGGAGGAGAGTGAGTGTTCGTTTACATTGCTGGTCAGCTCGTGGACTGTTCCATCTTTGGGCATGTTGTACTCTTTATCAGGATCATTCTGTGGATGGACAGGAGGGGAATCAGTCAATAATATTTTATTGATTATTGAGTGATTGGAGACACGTTTAAATTCAGGCTTCTTGCCTTGATGCTGTCAGCGAACTCCTCCAGAGCTTTGGCTCCAATCGTCTCCATGGACGTGATGAGAGTCGGCAGCTTGTTCTTGGTGCTCGCTGCTGTTCCCTGAACACAAAGACGAATACATTCAAATCCAATTTTAAATGGAAGATCATTATGATGCATCATCTCTTCTTCCTGCACAAGATAGTGCTGTAAATCATGAGCCTCCGCTGATTCACACCTGCAGCGTTGAATCAAACTCAGACTTGTTCATCTTCAGGTGTCTCAGGATGGGGAAGATGGTGAGGACGGCTGAGTAGTCGTGGCGCATTATGGCTCTGCGAGCGGCGGACACGATGTTGTCTCCCTCCAGCATCAGGTTGTCCAGAGCCTCCTGTGGACAGAGGACGTCATGAAACTGATGTGGACACTTTGCTGCAGAGGCGGCGGCTCAGGAAGTAACTTGTTTTAGCAACTTTCTCTTGTCAAATTCATGAAACAAGCTTGGACAGATGTTTGGTTACTATGGAAACTTGTGTTTCACATCAGACCTGGTCAGGCAGGTTTATGGAGACTGAGTCGACCTTATTCACTCAACATCATAAAACAGAAAACTGTATCTACTGCACATCATCTGATGAACGTCTTTCACACATACACACAGATCGCATTCACTCCTCTGTCATACTGACTTGTCTTCACACTTTGTATCTTTGATCACTAGTCAGAGACAGACATCTGAAGACGTCACCTAATGAACATAACTGAAAGTCAGATTTTGATTGGAGCTGGGGCATTATTGGGATGATGTTTGCTCCGTGGTGATGACAATCAAGAAATCTACAGCTCTGGTCAACAGGAGAACGAACTATCACACCTTCTTACATGTTGTTATGGTGAAAGACATGCAACAAACAAACAGTTTAGCTGTTTCTTATTCTCTTTAATGGGAGAAGAGGCTGTGAAGAGTTCACTGAACTGTTGCCTGTTAATTCAGAAGTTATGATACTTAAACTTAAATGTTGACCTTTGACCCCAGTGAAGTAAAACAATGAGAGACATGGTTTTAATTTCTCTACAGTTACATAGTCTTTTGAAATGTTCTTTTTGTCACATTTTTTCATATAAACTGACTCAATTAATTTCTATGGGCTTTATTTTTTTCATTTTATTATGAGGCTGTTGTCAGTCTATAGTTGCTTCCACTTACACCAAAATACTATTTTCATTAATAAGCTGTATTACTGTTCTGCGCTCTCATATTTTATACCTTCAGAACTGTAATAAAATGAACTTTAGAACCAGAATTCAAACAGCTCTGGTTAATGTCCCTTCATGTCTCTGACCTGAATGAGGGAGTCGAAGGTCTTCTTCTGGTGGTGCTCGGGGATGATCTCTGTCAGCAGGGCGTACTCGCTCTGAGCCAGCTTGACGAAGGCGCTGATGCAGTGGATGTAGGAGTCGATTTCGATGTCCAGGACATCGTCCTTTCCTGAGAGGTACACGAGGAAACATGCAGTCAGCCGGTGAAGAAGAAGAAGATGTGATTTAAGACATGGGGTCTGGTGCTGAGTTACTGAGTCAGTGCACGTGTTCAGTTGAAGCTGTTAATCTCTATGTGTTTCTGCTTCAGGCTGAGATGTGTTAAAGCTGCAGCAGGTGAGACTCTCATATAAAAATACACCTGATCTCATCAGCCTTGTTTCTGCCTATGTTCCTTCTCTTTCCCACATGTTCCCGTCACTCACCTGCGGCGGCCCCGTGCTTCTCGGTCAGGGCGTCAGACAGGTGTTTGACCCGCAGGTCATGATCGTAACCTGGTGGGTGGGGCGGAGCAGCAGGGAGACAGGACTAGTCAAACCACCGGGGGTCGTGACTAGACCAGAGGTGGGACATGAGGAGTGGGGGACAAACCTGAACCTGGAACAGCTGTACCGACCACCACACCAAGCACCGGGGGGGCAGGGGGGGGGGTTTGTTTTGTGCGTGTGACTCGTATCTACAGTTAGTGAGTGCGTGTTAAAACTACAGGACAGAAACCAGCTTCACACAAACATCACAACAGCTTTTAACTCACCGCAGGTTCACACACTGTGACGCTGCTCAGTGTCACAGACACAAAGATGTTTCAGCTGCAACCTGCTCAAATTATACTCTCCTACATTTCCCAGAATCCCCTTTCAACCTCTAAAAAGATGTCCCTTCTTAAAGGTGCCCTGTGGGGTTTTGTTGTTAACATTGTGTTTATCCTTGAGGCCAAACAGCAGGAAAAGCTCAATATCATCTTCTCCATCAGCAAAACAAAAAACATCTTTCGGTTTCAGACTTGTTTTCAGTGAAGACTTAAAAATCTCTGCCTCTTCTATGATTCAGTATTCATAGACAGCAAGTCTTGTTGTATTTCTTATGGCTGCTGCAAAGAGAATTTCCCTCCTTTCGTTTTGACAGTGGCTCTGAAAAAGACCTCGGCTAATGTTTCTGGGGGATTATTCAGTGGGATTATTATTATTTAACCTCTGCTGGGAATATCTGATCATGCTGTAACATGTTTGGCCGTTTATCCATGGTGATAAGAAAAGTACAAAAAACAACAGAGCAGATCAATGGTGAAAAAGTGTTTCAGGTTGAATGTGTTATGGTTTTGATTGACTTCAATATATATCAGGCCTCCTGCTGAGAAAGACCCAGACTTATTCAATGTAATTAAAACTTGATCGAACACCTGCAGTGTGTAAAAGCTGTTGTGACTGTTGTGCGGAGATTTCACAACATGAGTGACAGCGGTCACTGTCAGCGAGGAGGGAGACACAGACACCGAAGAGAAAACCGAGGTGCGTTACCTTCCAAAGGAGTGAGGTTAGAGCCCCCCTTTTTCCCATCCAGCCCATGCTGTGAGTACTGTTTCAGAAGGTTCTGAGCCTTGCGAATGGTCCCTGGTCCCATACACACAGAGACAGAGTCCAGAAGAGGACGAGGAGGGAGGAGGGGGGCCGCGAGGTCCAGACAGCCAAGAAACAGAAGAGGAAAGAAGAGGAAGAAGAAAAGCTAGGAAGTGAGTGATGAAATATAGACACCACATCCCTCCACCACCCAGACAGCCAGCACAGGTTTGTATTTACGGAGGAGGAGAGGGTGGGGGGTTGGGGGGACATGGCCTAGCACCACAGCTACACAACAGGGAGACCAGGTGAGAGACAGAGCAGACTACAGCTACACCGGGACACATGTGCAGAAACACACAGCGCCCAGGTTTGATGTAAGAGCAGAATAAACAGGTTAGATCACAGTTCATACAGTTAACAGTCATATCCAGAATTAATATTAACTGACAGTTTGTTACATGGTTTAAACAGGCAAAATCTACACAACATTATCATTCTCTGGATGAAAACATATTTCAGCTTTGTTAGAGAGTTAGTAAAACATGTTGCACATTTAAAGCTGCTTTCACTTTCTTCTGTTGGACACAACGAGCTGAGAAACACAAACTATCACTTTATAAAGCTGTTATAGCTAACATGTTAGCGAACACTCGCCTCTTCACACATGCAGCAAACACAGAGCAACATTAGCATCCTATCAGAGTCGTGTTTGTGTCCAATATTCAGTCTGCTTTTAGCTCCAGTCTCGATGATGCTCTGTGACTCAGCTCTGTGTTTCCTACAAACCTTAAGGGAGAAAATCTAAATGTGCTTTGTAGCCCACACTCACACAGTTGACGTCTGTAAGAGCACAAAAATACATTTAAAGGTACAATTAAAAATTTAATTTTGCTTTGATGTGACTGAATCACAGAGTAACAGGTAAACTGCTGAGGTCACATGTGGAGTTCAGACTCCACCAACTCCTGAGAAAATCAACTGGCTCTTTAGCTGCTAAATGCTCCACTGTTTTAGCAGCTAGTTGCTAACTTGCTAACATGGTGGACTGCAGAGCTGAGTCATAATTCATCCCTACAACGACCTCTTTTCCCTCACACACTGTCATCCGACCCATTGCTGATACAAAAGTTATATTGATTAGTGGAGCTTTAACATAATACGATTAAGTCATCCGTTTTCCTCCATCTGTCCTCACTCTTCACTGCCACTGAACTATTTTCTTAAAGCTCCATATTTTCCTCTTCTTCTGTGTTTTATTTGAAGTGTTGATCCATAAGAAGATATATTTGTGGTTTTAAGAGCCAAAAAACATCTCAGTGTAGTTTTACATCTCCTCTCTCAGGCTTCTCTCTGGAGCTGTAGTGACAACAGGTCAGTGAGCCAATCAGAAGAGAGGAGGCTCTGAGCCTTAATCCTTTTGTTGTGACATCACAAAGTTACAGAAGTCCTGACGGCAGGTTTTAAGTCTCAGTTTCTGAATACAGGCTGTGTGCATTTCTCTGTGGACTGAGGCTTTGATACTTTCACAGTATTAATATAGAACCTAGACCTGATCTATGATCAAACAACACATGGATATCTACCTTTATACTATATGGGATTCATATTTTTTTAAGGCGTTTCAGCAGAAGCAACAACAGACCAAAGCTGTGAGCACATGTTGATGGAGTTAATTCAAACTCGAGCAGCACTGAGCGACAAAGAATAAAAACTTTTAAAAAGCCTGTTTCATGATTTCAACAGTGTAAACTGATCAGTGCCGGAGGAAACAGATCATCAGCTGTTTATTGGCTATAAACTCCTCTGATCAACACTAACACACACCTCTGATACAAACCTGTCACAGCACACACACCAACTCTGCAGAACTAATCTACACAAACACTGTGAAAACTCTACAGGCTTTAGTTTCATGGTGGTGAACTGGGGGCAGCAAACAGCAGCAGGAGGTTTTCAGAAGAAATTCATGATCCACTTCTTGTTAAAAGCACAGACTGATCCTGCATCAGAGTATTAAAGCTACAGGTACATCTGGTTGGTTTTACTAACTTGTTGTCCTTTATGTTTTGGCCTTGGTGTTGTATTTATGTTTTTATACATATATCCCTCTGCTGTATCCCCATTGCCCCACTGGGGACAAATAAAGTGACTGATTGATTTAAAAAAAAAAAAGGGTTGAAGGTGAAAGTTAAGTAATGTCACATTTCTCATGCATCTTTTGTTGCTTTCATGACATCAATATAAGACACATAATCTATAAAAACAAATCTGTATGTTTTTGTTATTCTGTATGTGAAAGAACTGGAATTGGACCAATGAACCACATCAGAGATAAGATACAGATTTGACTGGAGCTGAAAAATAAATCAAGATAAGACTGATATCATTATATAAGACTCATATATAAGTATTATAAATGTTGCACTTCTCAGGTCTTTAAATGTCTCATTTATAAAAATCAAACCTGAGTCACCATCTTCATGTTCACATTTCAAACAAAACAATTTCACCAGGAGCTTTCTACCATATCTTCTGATCCTCCTCTTTGTTTAGAGAACTAGAACTATAGATGTTTGTATTTTACATTTCTCATCCATGCTGATCTACATAGACACTGAAACTAACCGACTACAAATATGTGCAGAGAACAAATAAACCTCACCTCCACCAATCAGAGGGAAGAGCAGCAGCCAGTATGAAGCCTGAAAGACGGAATCCAGGGCCAAGAAAAAAGACTGAAAATCACCTGCTGCTGCTTCTTAAGCTTGATTATTGTGAACGCAGGCTAGTACTTGAAAGTGATGTAGATAAATGTATCAATGATTTCACCAACATCTCTCCTCTTTTTGGATTTCATCCGCTTCTGTTTTGAGAGATTTTAACGAGTAAGTGAAACTGAAACCTTAAAAGTGAAGGGGGCAAGAAAAGGTTTTTAATGCCTCCATCTCCAGTGGAGACATTACACCCATGTATGTCATCCTCCTCTGAATCTGAAGACACATTTTGCTTTTTCTTAAGAAGCTGGATCAAGAAGCTGGACCTCAGATTTCTGAGTGTGAGAGCAGGTGAAAGTTAAATTTCACAGATCTCGAATCAAGTTCTGTTAGACTGAGATGAGGATTATGATGTCAGCAACTAATTAAGACTCATGAATCATTATTTTTAATTAATTTATTAATGCCGTCGCTGCAGTTTCCACCTGGACACAACGCCATGAAACCAGAGGCCAACATCACACTGAGAACAGCCTTCTACATCTCTCCAGAGAACAAACTTCTGCCATCTGCACTTTTACGTTCCTACTTCCTAAAAGAAAAAAAAACTCATGCTGCCTCTCATGTTGCCGTGAAATGTGGCGTCCAACAGACAGCAGCAAGCACGAGGAGGCACACACTGAAGCTTTGTGTTTACCTGGGATGTAGACTGTCATCACAACACAGGGATTATGAGAGAGGAAAGGATGAAGGATTAGTCAGAGCTGAGTGTAAAATCACAGGATACACAGTGTGGGCTCAGAGTGAACAGATTATTATCAATGAGAGATCATGGAGGACACTTGAAGCTGAATAATGTGATCTAATCAACAGAGAGAGGGTGTGGAGATGAGTGTTGAGAGAGTGGCATCATTTAATAAACAACATTATGCAGACTCATGCTTGACTGTCAGATTAATCTGTAAAAGAGGGCTCGTACGCCGGAGTGTGATCACAGGCTGAAGTGGAGTGGTAATAGATTCTGTTTGAAGGTGTATCTGTTGCTGACCTGGTCTCTTCGGAGCCTTCTTGGTGGGCGTGTCCTTGCGTTTGGTTTGGATGGCGGGCGAGTAGAGGATCCCGGAGGAGGCACTGTTTTTGCGGAAGTGGTCCTTCAGGCCTTTGATGGATCGATCCAGCTGGTTGGACCTGATCTGGAAGTAGACGTTCATGAAATCTGCCGGGGAGAGAAGAAGAGGGGGATGAGGAGGAGGAGGAAGAGGAAGGTGTATGACACTGGTGTTTTTCTAGATGTAATTGATTGCAAAGATCAAAACCAACTATGTTTTAGTCCGTCTCACCTCTCTGCTCTGTGGCGTTCGACTCCAATCCCACTGTTTCTAACTTCTCTTTTTAATCTGGATTTTTATTTTTTATCATACTCTGTATTTGCATTCCCTTACAGTAGTTCTTTCTCAGAAAAGAACAAAAGGAAATAACAATTTTAATATATCTAAAGTATATACGCCCAACCGCACCCACCCAACACTGAAAAAATAAAAAAGTTAATTAAATGGGTAAATTTAGGAAAATAAACAAAATAATAATAATAATTTAGGAAAATAAACAAAAAAAGAAAGGAGAAAAAAAGAAAAACTAAAGATGACGAAAATAAATTTAGTTCATTTTAAAATATATAGTTTTCTTATTCATTTCTGCTCCCTCCCTCTTCCCCCTCTTCACCTCCCTTCTCTCACACTTCCCCTTCTCCATTTTCATCCCTTTTCTCTCCTTTTTGCATATGTGTGTGTGTGTGTGTGTCTGTGTGTGTGTGTATGTATATATATGGGTTGTTTTACTCCTGCTCTGAGAAGCACTGTGGGCTACATGTTTGTATGAAAGGTACTATATAAATTAAGTTGAGTTTAGTTGAGTTACTGAACACGTAAACCTTCAAAAGTTTTTTATCAAACTTTACTCAAACAGGAGGAAATGGTGCATTTCTTAGGGACTATTTTCAGAGGCGGAATAATACACGTTTGGTGCTCTTCTGAGTGTATGTGGGACAGAGGAAGAAGATATATCATTTGGTTGGTTTTGGCCTTTTCATGGACTTTGTATTAGAAAATAAAAACTTTGGTTAACAGATTTTTTTTTAATACGTTCCATCTTTTTTAATCATCTGTCGACCAGGGCACAAAATTCAGCAGTTTGAAACCAGAGAGTTTAGACTGACTGAAACTTCCAATCAACCACAAGAAGCATCAAAAATATTAAATTACCTCTTTGTTTTTAATCCTTTCATCTCATGTGGCGACTGTGTGTTGAGTAATACAGCCTCTCGGGGGAACTAGCATGAAGACAGATTTACTTCTTCATTCTCACCACTGCCTCAGTCCAGCTGATACTGAGACGCCCTGGACCTGATCTGACATCTGCCCTTATCCTGCATTTATGATTGATGAATCACAGGCTACAGCTAGCTGAGAGATAAAGTCATACCCTGGTTGCGTCCGTATTCCACCAGCCAGCCGGCGATGCAGATGATGTCTTGGAGCACGGCTTCAGGCAGGTGTTCCAGCACCACCTCCTCCTGCACCTCCAGCTCCTCGTCCACACTGATGGCATCCAGGATGAGGATGGGAGGAACAGGTTTACTGTAGCGGGTCAGCAGGCTGCGGAACTCAGCCTCCAGCAGCTCTTTGCCCTTTTCAAACCGCGCTTTCTGCACAGGAGAAATAACATTTGTCTGTTTTATCCTGCTCACATCTAACTTTTACATTTTAATATCTCATGCATGAGATTGACCAAAAGCTTAGACAGTGAACTGTGAAACCTAAGGTCAGTACTGTACCACTGTGTTGAGTTCGGGGCTGTCGGGGTTGTTGTCCTGAAAATATTCCACAGCTTTCTGAATCTTTGCAATACAGGCAAGATACTCATCCAGTCTGCCTGTCGGCCTGCAACAGAACATGTGAAATATGATAAATCAGATGTTTATAAGCACCCAAAATCCATCAACCAGTTCTAACAGTGGTCTCACCCCTCTCTGATGATCCTGTCGGTGTCTTTGGCCACGTGGTAGTAACTGATAACGTGATCCATGCAGGACAGAGTCTTGTCCACGTTCTCCTGCAGCCGCTGCAGGTTCTCTGTCTGTTTGTGGACTGGGATGATGGAGTTCTCCAGCTGCATCAGGCGGCTCTCGAATGAAGACAGGATGGAGACCTGACAAAAGAAATAAAGAATAAAGACACCTCATATCTATTTCTGAGGTTTAGCAGCCTGTGGAGTGCTTAAAAATGATTGTAAGTAAAAAATATTCTTAAACCCGGAGTAGATTAACATAGACTCGAAAGATTCTTTAAAATCCGCTTTCAGATTGTGAAAGTGAATTTCTTTCTTCTGTTTGAAAAAAGAAAAAAAATTTGTGTCTTTATTATAACTAGACCATTAAAACTAGTTGATCCTGGACATGAAAACTCTAAAGACTGTTTAAAAGCTAATTTCATATTTGTTAAACCACATTAGACCAGTTTAAAGATCTGAACCCAGCTGACCTGACACCTCTCAGACCTGGACTACATTGATTCTTCTTCTATGACTTAATGAAATGAATGTATGTTTGAGTAAATGTAAGATTGAGCAGGTTTGTGTCTGTGTGTGTTTTGTTTTTGTACCATGCCCTTGGTCAGCTGATCACTCTTCTCCAGATTTTCTCTGATGAATGACAGCGTCTCCTGCTCCTGTAACATCACACACAAAATCATTGACTCACTTCTCTCATGTTTTTATTTGACAATAACATTTTATCATCGAAGTTAAGCGAGTTAAGTGATGAATGTTAACAAAAACACAGCAGGTCTGGGATGCTTCCTTCCTCTGTGCCATGTCTGACCTGCTTCAGTTTCTCCTCTATCTCCCGCTTCCTGGCGGACGCATCCTCGGTCGGAATCATCCTGGAAGTTATTCCCATCACAGGACGGCCACCAGCGAATGAAATACGACTGATTTACCTGTTTATATCATGAAAAATGACAGCAGCGACGCCCTGAAGCTAATGTTGTGGATAGCTAATAGCAAGTTAGGTCGATTAGCCGTCAGAAGAGAGCTTTCCGGTTAGAATTTCAAAGTAAAATACACTGCTGTTGATTTAAATAAAGTAATTGGCAACGAAACACAAAATAATTACCATTAAATTGTAATAAATTACCCGCCACTTATTTTTGGTTTGGTGGCCTTGGCTGATAATTGGTTACTAGTTTTTTCTGTGTGCAAAAATGATACGCCATTACTTTGAAGGTGAATACGGCTAACTTTCGGTACCTATGTAAACTTGACGGACCCAAAATGGCGTGGCTTCATTTCCGTATTTATCTGGTGATCCTGAGTGTTTGGAACAAAATCAGCGCCATGTTTATTATATTGATTATTTTGAAGTAATTTTGCGCGGTCATGATAACGCTAGTAGCCAACATGTAGAGGTGCGTAAAATACTAACAAGAAAACGCTCTAACGGCTGAGTCAATACATGTAATGACCCAAACAGAACGCGGGGGGTCGCTGTAGTCAACTAAAGGACCAACACGTGGTTTAATCATAGATTGTATATTAAAAAGTTAAAAAGTTTATTATGTAAACCAAAATCAATTCATTATCACACACATTCACACTTATGGGCACTTTAGACTCGCCAGTTAACCTAATGTGCATGTCCTTGAACTGTGGGAGGAAGCCGGAGTAGCCGGAGAGAACCTACGCAGGCACAGGAAGAACATGAAAACTTCACACAGAAAGGCCCCAGGCCCGGGGTTTGTTTAGGCTGATGTATTGTTACTTTTACTTAAGTAAAAAATTTGAATATTCCTACCACTGGAAAACTTCCTGTTGCAAAATAAAAATACACATTTGAAAATGGAAATTTTTAAGGCTACTTCTCAAGCCGCCAAAGAAAGCTAGCCAGATTTAAGCAATTATATTTTCACAAGTTTTACAGTGAGTAACAATTATTTTCATAAATAAAAACTAACACACTGTTCGGAAAAATGTTACAAATGTATTTGCACAAAAGAAGATGTTGCACATAGTTTCTTTACATACATATTTACAAACCTCCTGGAATACTTTACACTGTTACTTTAAAACTGTGTCTATAATACAAACAAAAAGATTTGTACAATAGCTCTCAGAAACTACATGTTTTATTCTGTTAATTATCATTAAGATGAAAAAGAAAGAGGCAATGAAAACACAAACTAAAGAAGGTATCTGAGGGAGCTGTAAGACAACAGGACACATCAAACGACAATCAGTTGAACATTTCAAACACTTACACCCTTTTTTCACTCATGCATTTACACTAAAGGATCAGTTAAAATTTGTGAGGGTTTATTGCTGAGCTTCAGTTATGGAAAACAGCTACCAGACCTCTGACCTCTCTGTGGAATCTCTCTCTATTGGGACTGGTTGAGTCACACATTACATTCTAAAGAAAAAGTTAAAGTCTGTTATTTTCAGTTCATGTTGCAAAAAGGTTTCTCTCTATGCATCCACTTGCTAAAAGAATATATATTATAGCATTAAGAATAATGCAAACGTGTTCAAATCGCAGAGCTGCTCTCTATGATTCCTCCTCTTTAGACAGCGCCTGCAAAATAAAAACACAACACACATCAAGACTCTGTGGATAACTGACAATCAACGACTATTTAGTGTGTTTTACTCAAAACTGCAGTCACCTGTTTGAGGAACTGTCGTCCAAAGTAATTCGTAGCCATGTTCTTTAGGCTGGTCTTGCCCCCCACTTTACACCGCACATATCCATAGAGGTTGGCCCCTTGCAACACCACACCCATGATCACTATAGGCTGAGTGGAAGGTGACAGACATTTATCATTTGACAATGAAAATGACTGTATGCCAGTTTCAACCTTTAAATCTGAGGACCTACCAGCCATTTAATCCTGAAAGAAAAGAGGGTGCTGAAGGCAAAGATGACCCAGAGGACCGGACAGACAATCAGCCCGAGCCAGAAGATTCGGGACTCGGAATCTGACGCTTGTTGCTTCCCAGTGCCCTGAAAACAGGATATTCTCACAGTTAGGACATCTGCAAATACCATAGGGCCAGCTGACCGTAAACAAGTGCATTTATCAGAGATCAAAGACCCACAGAACAATAACACCAAGCACAAAAAGCAACATGGGACACGCTGAGGAGCATCCCACCTTCCTTGACTCAAACACCCAGTGGCTTCGTCCATCATCGTCCACCTGGTTCCACCACCTGAGACCAACCATCAACCTCCCAGTGATGTTCTGTAAATGTAGATATTTATGACATTATAATAAAATTGACAAAAAAAAAAGTAAGAATGCAACTTACAATTATTTTCATTATCGATTAACGTTGCTGAGTCGGAGTATAATGGCATAGCCCTTTATAATTTCTCACAGCCCATCTCCATAAATCTTGTTTTGTCTGATCGACAAAGATATTCAGTTTAATATAATGTATGACGCAGAAAAGCTTCAAATTCTCACATTTAAAAAGCTGGAGCCAGCAAATGTTTATCATTTTTGCTTTACAAAATAACTAAAATAATTATTCAATTATATAATCAAAATAGTTGCCGATTAATTTTTTGTCAATCGATTAATCGACTAATAATTGCAGCTCTAGAAAAAAGTAATGCCACAAAGCAATTAAGAACTCAGGAAAGTACAGCTCAAAAAGTAAATGAACAAAGGTTATATCAAATTATCATCAAAAAAATACAGTTATAAAATAGAAAATGTATGACCAGTAAATAAAGCCACTTGAGAAAATCTGCACACAAACACATTATATTTTACTTTTTACATACACAAGCATGTGTGTGATGGTCAAGGAAATGAGGTGATAATAATAAAACAGTTTAAACAGATTTAAATTTGAATTTACAAAAACTGCTTTCCTTCATGTTGTTGATTCAGCCCTTTATGTGTCAAGAGTAAAGCTCTCCCCTTGAAGAGGGGGGTATTCATATCCCCTGCTCTCCTTATAATATAACTGTGTAACAACACTCCCTGTTTTTAGAATAGAGAAAATTTATCTTGTAGTAAAAACTTTACCTTTACTGTCCAGAAGTCACATGACAGCAGAAGGATGATTGCGACCATGCAGGCGATGAAACTGCTACTGAAGATCTCGCAGAGCAGGTAGACGAGGATGGCACTGACTCTGAAGAAGAGGTGGAAGAAGGACGCCACTGGATGCCTGGGCACAGATTTTTAAATGCAGTGTTGAGTAAGTATTTTCTACATCTTAGAAATACAGAAGTGCTACAGGGCTGCAACTAATCATTATTTTCATTATCAATTCATCTGCAGATTATTTTCTCATCTACCCAATTTGTCCAAAACAATTACAAAACAGTAAAAATGCCCATTATGATTTCTCAAAGCAACAGGTGAAGTTTTTAATTGTTTGTTTTATTCAGCCAAACAGTCAAAAACCGAAATATATTAAGTTTAATATCATATGACAAACAAAAACTATCAAATCCTCAAGTTTGAGAGGCTGGAGCAAACAGATGTTTGGACTTTTTCTTGAAAAGTACTGGACAAGTGTTAACAGCTTACAGCCTTGAGTCGCCTGTAAACTTACTTAATGTTTTTCTTTGACCTTTTCCCAACATCCTCCTCCGCATCAAACAGAGACACGTCTTCATCATTGGTATCCTGAGGGATCAATAAGGAAGATACTTTAATCCTTGGAGACACACATGTTTACAAAACGATCTCAACTAAAGCCTGATCTTTGTTTACAGCTGGACTCTGCTCATCACGCCACTTAACATTTTGTAACGATTGCAGGCTCACACACTCATGATTGCAGTTCTTATGAATCATTAGGAGAAAAATACACATGCAGATATTTATTTACAAGACATTGTTAGGTATACTACCTGTATCTCCAGCCTTTCATCGTCTCATACAAGATACTATAGCACTAGATCTGCTAATCAAATTCTTTTAAATGTCCAGAAGCTGCACTAAGAGCTTGGCAGAACTGCATTCTCCTATTATGCATCAGAGCCATGGAATGTAATACGATTACTTTAGAAGCACTCCCCTTATTTAATATATTTAAAAGACTCTTGCAAACTACCCTGAAGGAAACATGTTGTTGTTTGTTTTATATGAGTCACTTAATATGAGATGGACTGTGTTCCAGATATCGATGGCTCGATTAATCAATTAATTGCTTTGTCTATAAATTGTCGCAAATTATTATAATTTCCCACAGTTCAAGGGGATGTATTCGAATTTGTTGTTTTGTACGATCAACAGTCCCAAATCCAAATATCTTAATTTTGCTGTGTACAACAAAGAAAAACATTAAATTCTCACATTTGAGAAGCTGAAATGATCCAAATTTTGCTAAAAAAAAAACCCACTTATAATAAAGTGTTACTGTTCTGGGTAACGCTTTAGTGTTATCTTTTCTGTTACATAGATACTGAAGCTGCTAACTGAATGCTACTAGGCCTTTTAAATAAATTTACTAACTTAATTAAAAGTGACTAATATACATAAAACGAGGCGAGGTCCAGTTTATCAGCAGGAGTGTTGTTATCGATTTAATTTGTGAGTTCATAGTTTTGTTTGATCATTATAACGATGTAACAGAGGGGCAACGGAGCTAACTTTAGCTAGCTATCTTAAGCTACCTCGGTGGTAAAGTTTGAATACACGGCTACAGGCGGAAAACAAACACTCTGTTGTGTGTTCATCAGCAGAAAACTGCTCTATTGTGTGGTTTTGAGAGCGTTAAAGTGAAGTTACGTTAACAGTGCAGACGTGTAAATAGCTACTAAACCTAGCATGCTAACTACTTAGCAACATTAGCACGACAGCTGTTCAGCTCAGCTGGTAAATACTTTGTACTGATGAGCTAATTTTACAGACAGTTTTCAGCCATGTTTAACATGACGCTACTTTCACCGTTTGACATATTAGCAGATAAAAGAAAGTATCATTAGAAAAGTGTCACTTACTTCTGTTATCATGTTGAAATTGGAGAAGGCTCTTCCGGTTTACATGCTCAACTCACGTCACTGTGCGCCGGAGTCATGTGACCCACGCGTGCCACGTATTACGCAATACGTCATTTTAGCGTCACGTTTCTATTTTGGTTGTTGAATAATATCTTTAATCTGAGTGTTTACTTTATCTATCTATCTATCTATCTATCTATCTATCTATCTATCTATCTATCTATCTATCTATCTATCTATTAAAAACAGGATGGACAGTTCCACAGTAGACAATTTTCAAAATAAAACAGAGGGAAAACATCTGGACTTAATTTTAGGGTTCAGACATATGAAGAAACTTTATTTTAAACCTTGCATGAAATGGTTGAATCCAATCCTTATGTGTGGGCCTGTACTCTATTGAGCAAACAAAAATAGATTGTGATTTTACTGTGTTACCAACTTTGTGTTGTTTCTTCAATGACGGTCTATTCTACCTTGAACCTTGAACTTGTTCATTCACGACATTAAGTAGGCTACTATGCAAAAGTTTTAAGCACTAAAAGTAAAGTGAGGATGCTTTTAAAAATAAAGCCACAAATAGTTTTTATTTATTAACTAACCCCATACCAAGTGCCGTAAACAGAGAAACAGCTAAATCAAATGCACACTTTAAAAACAGAACCAATTCAAGTGCCATATACTTGGCAGGTAGGTTGTTCCAGCACAGTTCTTCTGTCTCTTCATATGATCCCAGACTCAATGGGGTCAGACCATCTGTTGCAGGACTCTATCTTCTTCTTGTCTCTGAAGATAGTTCTTTGGCTATATGTTTGGGCTCATTATCCTGCTGCAGAGTGAATCTGAGACCAATCAGATGCCTCACTGATGGTAATATGTGATGGATAGGAATCTGAAGTACCTTCAAACTGAAGTAATTTTGATTTGAACATGTCTGAGATCCTGTTGAGCTGTGAATGCAACATCTGAATATCATGGCAGCATTTCAGTGATAGACTCAGGAAAACTATATTTGATTATTTCTGATGTTGAAGCCAAAACAACATCCCAGGTTATCCACCCAACATCTGTGGTCTGAGTGGCAGGTTTTCCATTTATCCACTGGACAATCTCTAAGGAAATCCATAATAAAACTGAACAAAAGGAGTTTTTCTTTTCTTTCTTTTTCTTTTTGCAAATGAGAATACAAAGTTTTATTTGCATACAGACAATATAGGACATTTCTGAATTCACAGTGTGATGAAAAGTACAGTAACAGAAGTCCCAAATATAAACAGGTGTATAAATATGACTTGAGCCCAAATGAGATTTAAAAAAAAAAAACAGTTTATCATATTAGTTTTGCAACAAAAGTAATCTAGTGTAAACAAAGTTAACATGGTAAGACTTTTCATGTTTTCCCTCTTATATATTCCAGATAATAAGTCTATTTTAGGAAACAGTACAGCTGCTGTTCATGAAGTAACAGCTCCGTTTGTAGGTGAGGTGGGAGGAGAGGGGCTTTTGAGCCGTAATGGTTCTCCAGGTGCCACCAAGGCGACGATATTCTCCTTCTTGGGCAGCCAGAAAGCCGGATAAAGAGGCTCCAGGAACTCTGCCTTGTACTCGTGGATGGGCGTCATGGAGTCTTCCACGCCGTAGAAAGCCAGGAGGCCTCGCGTGTAGTCCACATACACCCCGATACGGGTGAACTTCTCCACATTGAGGGGGGTTTCCACACCACTGTGCCAGGCGGAGAAGGTGCGTCCGTTCCACTGAAGACACCAGGAGAAGTCATTCCCCGTGATGCAGCTGTTGCTCTCGTTGCCTTTGCGGTCAATGCTCTTGTAGGTCACACCAATGTGCGTGCCCTCGCCACTGATGTCTACTTCAAAGTAGTTCCGGCCCAGATAGAAGCTCTCTGTGGCAAGAACTTGGCGCCAGCTCTCAAACCGCTCAGGTACATCAGGGTAAGGATGTTGCCATGGAGTCGTGTTAGTCACCTTCCTGTTTTCTTCTGTTAGACGCAGGAACTTGTGAGCTGTAACAGCATCAAAACTAATGTTGGCGGCATCTGGGAGAGGAATTTTAAAATGTTAGTTTACTTGACATTGGCTTTGTTTCTTTGTTAATTTGATTGAATAAAAACTAAAATAGAATAAACAAGGGAATTCTGTGTTTATTAGGCCTGAGGACTGAACCAGAAACCGCTGTGATCAATGATCCTCTCTGCCTTCTAATTCCATTAAAGTGCACAGAAACACTATCACCTTTCAGTTCTTTCTGTTGCCATGGGATTGAGGAACTTTTTTACCATCCTGACTTCAACTACAGTACCTCTGTCCAATGGCAGATATTTCAAACATATAAAACACTTACACTTTAGGAAGTCAGCATGTGTCTCTGGATCTGGTATCGACATGTTCTGTTTCGCTGCAACAATCTCATGAACTGTTGTCTTTATTCCCATTTTGTCTGAAATGGCAGAAAATATATTTGAGCGTCTGAAAACAAAACACAGTTTTATGTTGATTCATGCACAGGGTTCCTACAGCTGGCACAGAAATGCATGAAGGGAAACAAGTATTGGCTGTTTTTCTGCTCCTGTAGGTAACCTGATTTGCATGACACACAAATGAGGTGAGTCATGAAGCACACATGTTCATTCTTACCCAATCAGTGCGGCATTTTTAGACACACGTTATGTCAGGTTAGCTCCAAACAAACGACACACTGGCAGAAAATTCTTAACATGTGTTAACACGCCCAGATGTACAGATACTGGCTGTTACTGCTAGCGTGTAGGCTTCCCTGGCAGCGGCATCTGTGCTGCTTGTTCTTACCGTTCTTGCATGTCTCTTTGACTTTCTCTATGTATGAAGACACGAGCATGGCGCAGAGCTCCTGTGTGGAGTCAACGATCACACGACTGAGGGAGTTCAGACGATCCATCAGGCCGATGTAGACCCCAGGCAGGGAAATATCAGTGGCTTCTTTCTTCCACTCTGAATACTCCTGGAAGACAAACCAGGATTCATAAATTTTTTAGACTTGAATGTAACACGTGTTTCATGGTCGAATCGGTCAAAGTATGAAAAACCTTCCAAACGATTTTTATTCTGATATTTTTCATACTTTTTATGAACCTAATTCTAATTAGCAAGTACATGAACTTATCTATATTTATATCATCACTGTCAGCACTTTCCTGCAGTATATAACAAAAATTCCTAACATAATGAATCAAATAAGACCTGGACCTGGATAAGCAGCAGATAATGGATGGATGGATGAATTGGCAAGAAATAAATTTATAGTCCACATATGAATTTTACATAAGAGATCTAGGACAATGGTACTGGGTATTCTTCAGCTACTTTTGGCTGAAATCACACCCACTAACATTGTATAAGTGCTGTTATTGCCAATGGCGGGCTGGAAAAAATATTTAAGCCCTTTGTAAATAAAATGTAACTGTGACTTTTTAAAACCTTCTACTGCTTTTTAATCATTTTTCAAGACTTGCAGATACCCTGACAAACACGGTGTCATCCAGGAACAAGAACATGAGGGTTCTTTATCCTTGAGAAACTATCGATGGCACCATGTCTCAGACTCCATCCTGGTGGTGTTACCTGTAAGAAATCCACATCATTTTTGTTCCTGGAGAGCTTCTCCATCTGTGCCTGAGTCTTCTTCAGCTCCGTGCACCTCTGCTCCAGGTGGACCCGGATGCCCTCGGCTTGCCTCAGCGCCTGCTTCTCCTCGCCCTCCAGGATCTCCGTGACCTCCCTCTTGGCCCTCTCCACCACCGCCTGCAGCTCCTCAAACTGGCTGTTGATCACCGCCCGTACGTCAGTCACCGATTGCTGCAGGATAGAGTTTTTTTAATTTCTCATCAAATATGGACTGAGATCTCTTTACATCCTGAGAGAGAGGAAGTTACGAATATGAAAGCAGTGACAAATAACAGCTAAGGCGTGCATCAGATCACATGACGTTATGTAACTGCAACTTTACTAAGGGGACACTTCATTACCTCATCATCACCCGAAACTACAGGAAAAACATGGACTTCCTCCCACACCGCAGGGAAGCCTTTCAGGTTTGGGAGGCGCTGATACCTCAGCCTTTATAAGCCGGAGGATTCTCAAGCCAAAAATAGAAGACGCCAACTCATTTTGACTAACTCTTGTGACATTCATGTGACACACACACACACACACACACACACACACACACACACACACACACACACAGTGAGATGAGGTTTGAGATGAGTCATATGTGTTTACCTCTATGGTGACTGTGTTTAATTGAAGTTTGTTGATAGCGTTCTCTGCTGCTGTCACCGTCTTCACCATCTCAGTCTGCTTCTCCCTCAGTTCCTTCTGTAAACACGAGAAGAAGAAGAGAACAGACCTCAGCAAGTCTCCGCACAGAAACCACAAAAACCATGCTGTAATGCTGAAAATATGCCCGATCGGAAAGAATATGTACGTGCAAATGTAAACTTCTGTGTTTCTGTTTCTTCAGGAAAATTCTGTTGCTTCCAATTTTCCCTCTACTCTGTAGTAAAGTCACACATCCTGTTCTACACTCCGATATTTGTGGTTTTCAAGGCACTTTTTGTTTTGAAGATTCAAGTCTGAATTCCTCAGGCAGGTCCAGGCAACTCTAGAGCTGAAGCTGGTGCTCAAGGAGATTACTGTTCCATAAAGTTTAGGCCCTACGGGGAATGCTACATTTCCTTTGTTTCATATGGCGAGACGGGCCATCAAGTCCATGTTAAAAATTAATCAACCTTAAGTTTTTTAAAGCTACTATATAAATACCCCACAGCTAAAACATGTACTAATAATATACCTAAGAATTTATGTTGGAAAGGGGTACAGGATGTTCTCTGTCCCAGCTCTTTGTATCAGTTTTTAAACTACTTGCAGGAATATTTAAATAGCCACATGCTACGAGTGTTAGCTAGTAAGGCTAGTTATGTATTGTGTCATGCACACACAATACAAATGTTTAGCCCACATGGATTTATAAGACAACAACAGCTGCAGTGGTGAGTGTGACAGAAACACTTTAATGTACGTTAAAATCAATATAAACTTATTCGCAGACAATTCTGTGATATATTTACCCAAGGAAAAATTCATACTTCGCTTGAGTGTTTTGTTGTCTCAAGTTAAAAAAAAAATTATATTTGTGATCATATGTACCTGCTCTCAACCTCAGTCACCTGATCTCAACTTGAACCAAAGCAGATTTTACACTTTCTGCTGAAATTCAACTTGAAACCTTAGTGACTTTAAAACTGTGCTTAAAACTAATTCTTATAATCTTCAATTTCTACATTGGTAGTTCCATATGTTCCACAACACTTTTGACCCCTACCTTGAATTGTACCACTGTATTAATATTTGTGATTTTTTTGTGTTTGTTTGTTTTTGTCACATCATCTTGGGAAGTTCTTTACAAATAAAGGATATTATTATCAGTGATGGAAGGGGTTCAAAGTCTTTATGTGCTGTTACTTACCTCCTGTGAGTATATAGCATATATAAAGCTAACGATATGCTACACACTATATAGTATATCATTGAATTATCATTATTATTTATGCATTAACGCTTCAACAGCATTTGACTCTTGTTGGTTGATGTGGAGCTGATTTTTAACTATTTGTATGATTATTTTCACTATAGACTAACCTGCTGTTTATCTAGCTGATCAATCTGTTTGGTTTGTAAAACATCAGAAAATAATGTCTTGTTCTGTCCGACCAGTAGTTCAAACCTCAAAATGATTTGATGTTCATTGTAATTTAGGAATTAGTAAAGCAGGAAATCCTGCGATCTGAGAAGCTGAAACAATGAAATCTTTATCATTTAACTATGTTCTGAAGTTATTTCAGGAAAACTTCTGAAAAAAATTCTGGAAATCCCTCCTGAATAGAGGTAAGTGCTGTTAAATGCTGTTGTGTAATGCCGGATGTTTACCTCTCTACTCTACGTTTATGGGTTTATTTGTTGTTTTGTATTTAACTAAATTTAAAGCCCTTCAGTGGACAGTAGCATCAAACAAAGCAGAGGTCTGAGTCATGTAGAGAGTTCTCCAAAAAGTAGAGTTTCTAAAATGGAACATGAGCTCTGAACAGGAAGTTATTTCACTCTATTGTCTTCTATGTTTTTCTGAGTGTTGGTGTCTGTCCTGTGGAAATAAATGTCTATGAAAAGGGAGCAGGGAGAGTTGAAAAGTGTGAGTTGATTTCCTCTTTAGCAGCATCTACTTTCATTTAAACTTTTGTAGTATTAATTCCCTTCTTGTTTTCTATTCATTTTAAGACAAAGTTTTGCAGGACGGTAGCAGACACTGGTATTTTCACCTACATTTCCAAACAGCATACTGACACTACGCGCTTCCCTGCAGTGTTTGCTCTACAGCTCTAATGAAGCAGTTTGAGGTTTTGCAACAACACACTCTGCAAATAACAGGTGGTGGCTAAGAGCTACAGATCTGTGCAGGAATGTTGACCGGTCTGAATCTGAGGGTCATGAACTGTCAAAAAGAAAGAGACAAATGACACTTTAGCTGAAGCTCAAGCGTTCTCTGCGTCAGAGCAGCTAAATAGATTCTAGTATCAAGTTTCCAGACTGCTTCAAAGGCAAATAATGCTGTTAATCAAACACGGCGCGAGCTCATTACATGACCTTTACAATGGATATTGAGTCAGAATTACTGGTTTAATTGGATTAAGTATCGAAAGCTGCATTGTAGGATGTGGGAACAACCGCAATGTATTTTGGAGATACAGCTCATCCCCTCTGCACCGGCGCTGAAGGTTACATCTATCAAAGCCACTCAGTCAGACATGTGAAAGCACCAGTGTGATACTTTAAGGATTACTTCTAAGCTCCTCATATTAAATTACAAATGGATGGCACTTGTTCTGTCATATTTTATTCATTTAATCTTGAAAACTTTTATTTACTCTATTTTCTTTTATGTTTTTATGTATCTGCTCAGACCGTGGTGGACTCCTCCTTGGCCACATATCAAAAAATAAACAACAAAAGACAAATACTCAGCAAGGCTGAATGTGAGATTTAAAAAAAAAAAAAAACATACTTGGTCTAAAGTTCAAAAACTGCTGCAACTAAGAATTATTTACATTACAGATGACTTTTTTTGATAAATCAGTTAATAATGTCGTTTATAAAATGTCAAAAATATGTGAAAAATGTCTATTAAAAGTTCCTGGAGATTAGTTTTGTCCAACCAACAGTTAAAAACCAAAGAAATTTAAAGTGATAGAAAAGAGAGAAAAGCAAAGATTTAGACCAGCAGTTCCCAACTGATGGGTCAGGAAACTTAAAATAAACCTGTGGTGAGAGATGATTAAAGTGATAAAAGGAAATAATCTGTTAAAGAAAATTATATATTTTTTCTGACTTTTTTGGCTGTTTTTCAAGTGAAATATTGGAAGCTTCCCCCTCTACATGTTTCTAAAAGAAGGCAAATCTGAGGAGAAGACGTCCACACTGGGATATAAACTGTGATGTTGGGTTTGGCTTTTAACTCATTCTATTTTCTAACTGGACAAACTAGACCAAAGATGAACATGAGAAATCTAGACGTATGAACTCTCAGTTTTGAGGGGTTCTAATTAAAGTATACAAGAACACTTGCCTCTATCTGCCGCCGAGCCTCCACCACAGGGACGGTGTTGTGGCCCGTGTGCTCCTCCGCCACGCAGTCCTGACAGATGCAGCAGGCATCGGCGCAGCAGAAGATCTCCAGGGGCCACTTGTGGCTCTCGCAGGTCCTCCTCTCGATGTCCCTGAGCGGCTCCACCAGCCGGTGGTTCTGAAACTTCGGGTTCTCCAGGTGAGGCCGGAGGTGGGCCTCGCAGTACGACACCAGGCAGGTGAGGCAGGACTTGAGGGCCCTGCAGGGGCTCTCGATACAGGAGTCGCACACCACATCGTCGGGGCCCAAAGGTTCCTCTTTCACCTCTTCATCTTTTGCCTCCTCTTTTTCTCCAGTTTCTGACTCTGCTTCTTTCTCCTCCTCCTGATCCTCCGGCTTCTTGGGGTCCTCAGACTCCTTCAGATCCTCTTGGATCTTGATCTCCTCTGCGATCTTAGAGTCCTGATTCTGCTCCTCTTTGCTGTTAATCACCGGAGCTTCAGCTTTTGTTCCGTTCTGTTTCAGAGCATCAGGTTCAGGCTTGTCAGGACACTGCAGACACTTGGGACACGCTTTGTCCCCGAGGCAGGAGCCACAGACTGAGGGACCACAGGCCGCCGGCTTGTCTCCACTCGGCACACCTGGGCAGACAGCACACAGTTGCTGTTTGGAGGTGGGAGCTGCTTCTACAGCTGCTGTATCTGCCATGTCTCCAGTGCAGCTCCCAGGCTTCACTTCCACTCTTGAATGCCCTCTGGAAATAACTGGCTGAGCCGCTTCAGTTCCTGGATCACACTGAAGAGCCTGGAAAGCCACACCTAGACAATGTCAACGTCAGTCCAAGGCCTTATAGTTTGAGTCTAAATGTTATCCGCCCCCTCAGCACTCACATGCAACCAGGCAGACAGGCCAGCAAACAGTGATACACACCCCCATGCACAATCACTGCCCTCCCTTCCCCTGAAGTAAAACAGAAACCACAGGGTGGAGCTCGCGCTGCAAACGAGGAACACAGAAGTGTAGAGTTTCATTCCTCCACATGCATTGTGTTTGATCATAGACTGAAACTCACAAGTTCAATTGTGCACACACACACTTCTTTACTCACCGCGCTGATGAAATCACCGAGTGCACTGTCACTCACAGTCGTATCTGTCCTGAACCGATCTCCATGAAACTGAGGAAATCATCGCTGCAGCCTTTTGTCTGCTCAGCCGCTTCCTCTCTTCCACATGCCACATTCCTGCTGCTCCAAAATGCCAAGTGGAAAATCTAATGTAAACCAGTGATTGAATGAATCAGCATGAAGCATAGAGAAGAGTTCAGAGCAGACACTGCCACCCAGTGACCAGAGCCGGAGATCATCAGAGAATTACCCTGAGGGACTCTTTACTCTCATGTCTGTGTAAAAAAGTTCTAAGAAACATTTATCAAGTGGATCCTACTCACATCTACATGCAGCAGCAGCTGTCATGTGATCATGTGATTAATCACATGTGTGCTCAGCCAATTGGAGACTTGGATTTAACCTCCATCTGTCCTTTTGTTCTCTTATTTTTTAAATAATTCCTACTGTTTTGCTCTCTGTGCAACACTGTTGAGTTTTATGATTTTATTGATGTTTTATGCTTCAGTCAGTTTATTTATATCATCTTAATTATGTGTTTTTATTTGATTTTAGTCATCAACCAAATTATGTCACGATCTCATCTGTCTGTCAGACACCTTGTTGTTTTTAAATGTGCCCTATAGAAATAAACTGACTTGGATTTTTGCTGTGATTGTGTTCTGCAAATACCAGTATGATTTATTTAAGGATCATGTATTAGTGTGAAATCTTTAATAAAATTAATTAACAACAACAACAACTGGCTTCTAACCATAAAAACTGGGGTGAAATTATATATGAATGTCAGGGATTGTAAACAAAACTAATGACAGCTTTATTCTTGCTGTTTGGACCTGGGAGGAATGTAAAAAAGAAGGAAATGTCAATCAAAAGTGTGTCTAGAAAACAGCAGCTACAAAAAATACCCTATTCTGAATTGAACATATTATTCCAGGCTTTCTGTGGGATTCACTAAATTATATTTAAAACTTTCTAAGACTTGTTAATACTAGACAAAATGCAATTTTACGAACTCTACTGATTAAAGAATGATAGAGCAAAAATGTAATTATCAATTATTTATTAAGTGCATGAATTTATTGACATTTATATAATTTTTCTTTGCAGTAAATAATAATAATTCCTTGTGTTGTAATGAATGAGTTGACCTGACCTGGACCCAGATAAGTGGTAGAAAAATGATGGAGGGATTCACTGATTAAAACAAATTTTCAATACATTCTTATAATACTGAATTCAGTGCTTTTAATTCTTCTCAGTGTGTTGCAGTCATTATACAATATGTGGACAGGCTGCTCTCCAGAGACCTCTGAGTGCTTTCAAATTAAAGCTGCATTCACAAATGCATATTAAAAATTATATATAAAGAATGGACCTAACGACTGTGTGGTTCCTCTTGGCTCTGTTGTGGTTTTCCTTTTAGCATCTTTCTTTGTTTTGGTTTTTAAATCTGTTTCCAGACACAAGCAGGAAGTTAGAGACACAGTGAAGCATTCAGCCACTAAAAAAACAGATATTTCTCTCAGGAGTTGGTGGAAATCAAACCAGAGCTAAAAGCAGAGTGAATATTGAACTTACATTCATTGTGTGTCCAGAAACATGACAGTAAATGAGGATGATGTTGCTCTGCTGTTGCTAACCATTTAAATGTTGTGTTCACAGCTTGGTCTGCTGCCCCCAAGTGGCCAAACAAATCAATTAACACTTCACGATAGTATTTATTCTTATAGTTTATTATAGTTATTATTTATTACTTATAGTATATAAGTATTTTTATGTCAAAAAATCACTTTTATTCTGAAATGTGTGAGTAGGAGCATTTAAAGAAATTATGGATAGTTTTGTTTTAAGTGTATAAATAGACAATAATTTATTCAATCACAGATGTCAATCAAAGAACAACTTAAAGAGGCAGACGTTAGGATAATGGATTATTTGAGTTATAAAGGCAAGAAAACAACATGGATGATTTACAATTATTATCATATCAAAAAAAAAACACACTGAGACACGTCTATGTCCTCAAGTAGTGGATGGATGAGGACGAGCTTCTGAGGTGAGGACACAGCAAATTAAACACTTGCATTGATAAAAACAAAAACATCATCATTAAGTACAGGAGAGCAGGGGCCTGTCTCACTGATCAGGTGTCCGTTACCATGGCAACTAGGACAGAGCAGGATTTGTTCAGATTTGACAAATTATAAAAGATTTATTAAAGCTTATAAGATACTGTAAACGTATGGCAATTTATAGCATGTTTTGATTCTTTTTTTCTTTTTCTGTTGCTGGTTTTCTTCCATTGTGCTTAATGTCTGTAACTTTTACCTGAATGAATATTTGATTTCTTTTCTTACTGCTCCAGTGAATAAAGTTCCCAGTGGGGACAGGACGCCAGCAGCTGGACGGACAGAGAGGAGGGACAAATCTTCTCTGCAGCACAATGCACGCTGTATATTGTTAAAATAAAAACCCACTGCTCACTCTGCACTGATGTCTCATTAAATATGATCTCCTGAGTCTCTGTGAAACCTCTGTTATCCAGGACAGAGCCAAGATGGATTGAATTGGCTTCGTGAGACAGACCCCAGGTCAGTTTGTCTGTGACCTGTAAAGCAGAACTCATTAAACCTAACCAAGCTTTTGTTTGAATGACTTGTCTTTGTGCTATTTGTTCAGTTAATACAATCATTTTTAAAAAATCAATCATGACGACGTCATGTTAATTGAACATAAATCTTCACTGTGTCAGTGTCGTGTTGATTCAGACTCTGTCATGTACGTCAGAGGCAGGTCAAACCTGGACCAAGGAGGTCATAACATGGTGGCAGACATGTACTTAAAACACCGAAGCTTGTGCTTTTTGAGCAGCAGCAGTCACTAGTCTGAAGAGTTCATCGTCATCACTGCACGCCCACCAGCTCTGTGATCGGAGGAGCAAATACCATCAGCTCCTGGTATTTGTGGAAGAAGAGCTTGAGACGAGAGAGGTAGCTGTCCTCCTGGTATGGAAGCTGTTTTTCGGTCAGATACTTGGACACGACAGGCTTCACCTGGAGACAGGTGAGAGGCACAGGGACAGTTTCAATAATTGTTTGGGCTACAAAACATCAGAAACAGCGAAAAATGACCATCGAATATCTGAGATGTGTCTTGTTTCGTACAACCCATCCATCCATCCATTTTCTTCCGCTTATCCTCTAGTAGGGTCGCGGGGGGGGCTGGAGCCTATCCCAGCATCTTTTCGGGCAAGAGGCGGGGTGTTTCGTACAACCAACAATCCAAAATTCAAAGATATTTAAATTATTATGATATTTAGACAGAGAAAAGCAGCAAATTTCTACATTTAATGAGCTTTAATAAGAGAATGTTTGAAGGTTTTACTTTAAAAACGGCTCCAATGTTCATTAACTAACGGATTAAATGACTAATTATTGCAGCTCTTAATGTTTACTTGAATGGTATTGCGGTCTTAAATGGATAAAAACTGTAATAGGTTTATTTTAGATGACTTAAAGTGATACTCCAGAGATTTATTATTGCTCCTTCATAAAGATCTGTGGACTTGCAAGAGACAACTTTTAACAAATGGTAATTCTGGAAGCAGCAGAGGCTGAAACATCCTGACTCTTAGTCCCTAGTATGATTCCTACAATTCCCACAATGCACCTGGTAAATGCTCAGGCCTTTCAAATTCCACACCACCAATTTGTGACACAGGCTTTCTGTCATGACAACACCAGCATCATCTGTTTCTGTTTTAAATTTGTGTTTCCAAACTCAATAGCAGTAATAGCAGAGGGACTACAGTGGGGTGTGGATGTCAGTGAAACTATGTTGAGAGGAACTAAAAGTTAATCAGTAAACAAAGAAATGAAAGCACTATAAAATATTTGTGACAGGGTTATACTCCACAAGCAAACATGTGTTTTGCTCTTGACACAGTGTTAGTGTACTGGAGTCTTTGCGTTTGTCCAAAAACTGTTAGTTTGTGCAAAATTGAACTTGATATTTTCTATTTTCACAACAGTAATGACATATGATGAAAGGAAATTTGACAATGCCATATTCCATTAACATAAAATTGAACTTCTTGTTGTTGTTGTATTTCTGCAAGATAAATTGGTTTTCATGGGGAGCGGTGGCGTGACATTTTTCCTGCTGCCAGAAGGGGGCATGATAAAAAATTTTAAAAAGAGTCTGAGAACCACTGACTTAATTCAAGGTGAGATCATGTCCTAATCATTAGAATAAAACACTTAACATACCTACTTGATAATAATGATTACTAGTACAAAATGAAACTATATGTGTGTATCGTGTATAGTCTGTAATCACAACAACACTACAACACCAAGCTGTTTAGATGCACTTATAGGTTCAACACTTTCTCATAATGACCAAGAAAAAGCTGGTAATTACTGCTACTGTTACTAAGTTACTTTATTATATCATCTACAGGGAAATTATATTTTCATTATACACATAAAGCATGTATGTATATATATCAAAACTCTGTCATAAATGCTTGATAATTACTGCAACTACAAACTGATGCATGATTGGTGGTTGTGTGATTTGTTTCCTACCTTTAAACACATGTTATCAGACAGGAAGGGGAAG